GGGGTACGAGCGTTGCACCAGTGGATCGAAGGATGTGCCAGCGACTTGACACTTTTCCCAGCACTCATGCCCTCCCACTCTCTCGTACCCTTGTCGTGACCGCTGCACCTCAGTGGGAAGGACGCGTGCGCGATGAGAATGCTCTTCAGATTGTGACGAAGGTGTCGTCGACTGCCTACAGCGAGAGATGACTGCTTGTAGTGGGCCTGCTGCACGACGTGTGCTGCGACGCCTAGAAGCCGAATGGACCGAGGTCGTAGTCGGTCGTCTGCGGAGCCAAGGAGGAATTCATGAGAACAACTGGTCGACGAACTTATTGGTAAAGTGCGTGAGCGTATGTGCGCTAAGCGAGGCGTGCGTGAATGCAGATGCGAAAGTGTGAGATGAATAACGATATGTATAGAAGAATTCATAGAGATAAACAAGTGTGCGCATGGTGCAAATGAACTACGATTGACTAATTACATCTACGGTGCAAGATATACGGTGAAGTTAAAACTACAAATGAACCAGAGCTAAACTCTTGATCACTAGTGAAATACTACAAGGTGAACTAACAACTATGAATTGCGAGAACTTATTAACTGAAGGAATGAGGAAGGAATAGAGAGGGGGAATCCCGGCGACACGAAGTATTGAAACTAATATTCAAACTATACTGAATAAAAACTAACTAAATATATGAGCCGACTGAGATGTGCGAAGCTAGCGCTGAAGATGTAATGACATGAACGCGATAATACTCGGTAAGGACTTACGCGGATGTTGAGCGGAGGCGTAAAGAACCGACGGGCAGACATGACGGCTGTAGCCGGCAGATGGTCTGACAAGGTCTCCCCCAGTGACGATACCTCTCGACCAACTAGGTGCACAACTACTAGTCTCCACCTTTCAGCCAGCGCGACCGCTTCGGGGACGAAATTACAATAACTTCCGCATAATAAGCTACTGCGAAGCATCGAAATTCGATGAACTTCGGAAAATGCATAAAGAACAGCTACAGTTTGTTATAAAGGGTCATTGACAAAATTTCGTTCGAAGACTGGAGGTTGTGTTATCATCACGTAATGCACTGCAGGCTTGAAAGCGTGTCTCGGTGCAGGCCACAA